CTAATAATTTTGTGACAGAATTAGATAACTTAATTCATCCCCCCCTCTTAAGTTATACGAGGCTACTTGGCTAACAATTATCAATATGTCCGTTGTTCTGTTATAACATTTAATAATTGCATACTTAATACAGGTAGACCTAGACTAATTGGGATTGGGATTATTCAGAGTTCCTTGTTGGTAACTTGGTATGAGTGGATACTATGCTGCACTAAAACTAGCCTAGTGTATACTGTATAAAACTGTTAGTAGTATGCTTTATTTGTTGAATTCAGCAGAAGAAACTTAAATCTGTTGGAAATAATTCTTTACAATTCTGCTATTAATTTTTTAAAACATATACTTGAACTCTTTCACCTTTGCCACTTACCATCTCATGTTAAGACTGTTAATGCAGCCAATTGTAGCCGTTCCTTCATTTATTTGTGCTGATGCATTTAGTAAGTTCCTGCCTTTCTGTACGGGGTTTGCAGCTGGATGCATGATTTGGATGGTTGTTGCAGAAGTGCTTCCTGATGCATTCAAGGTAATGTTTTCTGTATGGTTGAAGAAAACATTTTCTCATAGTACATGCTGTTAATTTCTCACAAAACTGGATCCTCTGTTTCTTTCATCTTGCATGGCACTTTAATGAATTAAAGTTGATTTTCAATAACTACTTTAATTTAATTTTTTATTTTAATATTTTTACAAATGGTATCTTTGATTTGTTGCTTCAAATTAAAAATAAAATGTTGCGGTACTATTAGGTTGTGAGAAGAATAAGCCTCCATTTGGAAATGATTTGTCATTTTAGGCCAATTTGTGTTGATCAAAAGCCACAATGTTTATACTTTATGGAAAATTATTCTGAGACTGTGCTCCTCACATTTGAAAGGTGATTCAGCATATTTCCCCAGGGGATAGCAATATTCAAAGTTGCTTGCTAGTGGCTGTAAAAAAAATGGAGAACCTAAAAAATTAAAACCTTTTTTTTTTTCCTTAAATCTTGGTTCAACAAACAAATTTTGAACATTGTTTACCAATTGCTTTGTTAACACTTACAGCACAGCAGCTTCTGAGAAGTCGTTAGTTGTAGCATTCTTAAATGCAGTGCTACTGTCATTATTTTTCAAGCCCCGGTACTAAGTGGGTCAATTTATAACATTAATTATTGATTTATTGCCTCAACTGATAGAAACATTAAAAATTGATTACAGAATGTGGGGATAATTCCCAATTACAGAAACCAGCGTGCTTTCACTCACAGAAACAGAATGATTGAGACAATTCAGACTCTTTGAGGGGTCTGCTTCCTCACTGCCCAGCAGCCTCAAGTCCCAGTTACCCGTAGCAAATTCCCTTGCTCACTTATTTTCCACTGCTTCAGGTCATTAGCTTGAATATACCTTTCCTACCCCTACAGCACCTGTGGGCAGATACACTTCCCCTTATAATGTTCCTCACACACACCTCAGCATCAGGTGGCAAGGGGGTTATCATCATCTCTACTGGGGTTGATAAATGATTAATGATATTAATAACTTCTAAATTAACAGAGTGAAGTTCCTTTAGTTCTGTTCATTCAAGAAGAGAACTATGCATTGTTTTGTTAATTTTTTTTCTTTACATAAAGAAAATGCTTATTACTTACTATATTTAAAGCAAAAAACAGAATGTGTTATCAACAACAATCAAAAAAGAAAAAAAACAATAAATGATTTCAATGATTAAAAAATATACATCCAGTAGACGCAGAACAAATTATTTCAATCTGACTGTTAAACTAAAGCCTTGCCTCTTTTCCTATGTCAATATGCTAGTGTATAATCGTAAACAGATTATACCATACTAAAGGATTAGCATTTTCTTCCAATTAGTAATGATCGACTTATAATCAAATACAGTATGTTGGAAGGGGGATGACAATGTCTTCATTCTATGATCACTTGATTTCTTCCATGGATTTGTAGCACTTCACCTCTTTGGCCATTCCTGTGTGTAGATCTTTTTTTAGTGTCTTGTTTTCAGATATATATAATATCAGCTTGTCGTGCGTTTTGATACAGGAGGCGTCTGCTTCACAGGTTGCATCGGCAGCAACACTTTCAGTAGCATTTATGGAAGCTCTAAGCACCCTTTTTCAGAATTTCAACCGTGAATACAAGTGAGTTTGTATATTGTTTTTGTAAAATGACTCGAAAACTGTGTTCCACATCAGCTCTACCTCACCAGTCTCATTTTTTTCCTCTCAATTGTTATGTTACAGCTCTGAGGATGCTTCTGGCTTCTTTGTTTCATTGCTTTTCGGCCTTGGCCCATTACTTGGTGGGGTTATTCTTGTTGCATTTGCTCTTGCTTTTCGTTTTCAGCATGCTCTCCTCATGGGCATAGCATGTGGTATTGCCTTTGTTCTTGGTGCTTGGCGACCGTTTCAACTTATTTTGTCTTCAAAATTAGGATTTGTTCCTGTGGTGTTACTCCTGGCAATGGGTGCTGCTTTCATCCATGTCTCTAGCTCAGGTGTATTGAAGGTGGCAAGTCGCAAGAAGACCTCGGTCAACGACTTGCCTGCACTCACAGGATTCCATGTGAGTGTTCAAACCCTTCAATCAGTCATATCATGTGGTGCAGTTGCTCTACATGCTTTGGCTGAAGGACTTGCACTGGGAGTAGCTGCACCAAAAGCATATGGATTTGGTCGTCACATGGTTCTTCCAGTATCTCTACACGGGCTCCCTCGAGGTGCTGCCGTTGCCAGCTGCATCTATGGTGCCACTGATAGTTGGCATGGTTCTCTTGCAACAGCTGCCATAATTGGATTTATGGGTCCGATATCAGCAATTGGTTCTATTCTTGCTGGGATTGATTACAGTGGTCTTGATCACATTATGGTTCTGGCTTGTGGTGGAATAATTCCAAGTTTTGGAAATATAGTTAAGAGAGCACTTAGCTTGGACAAGCAAAAGAGCACCTGCGGCCTCATTATGGGAATTGGGTTTGCTACCTTGTGCCTGACATTCACTAAATTAGTTTGCTTGCACACACCTTACTGCAATTCTGCACCAGAGGCTGTTAGATAAAACGAGTGTGCTGCATTTCCTTCATTCTCTATTATCATGTGCTTACAACAGTAGAACATATTTCTCTAGCTTGTTCTCCCTGTACATATTGCACAAATTTGAAGAGTTCGGAGAAATTGTAAATAGGGATTGGTTGCAAGCGGAAGTTCCTTAGAGATTGAATACGGGTCATGTATACCGACAAAACAACTGTTCTTCTTTATTTTAGTAAACAGGCTTTCTCCTTTGGTCTCGTTTGTTTTAGGGCAGCCCTTGAAAAGAAAATTTAGAACTTGAGGCAGATATACAGTCACAGTTTCATTCACATGTAATATAGAATGTAACCATGCACAGGCTAAATTGCCTACTTGAGCCATGTAAAACTAAAAACTGTGAAGAATGGAAGTGATGAGATTCCCTTTCCACAATCGGGTTGTTACAAATAGAGCCTATTTCCCACAATTGGGTTGTTACAAATAGAGCCTTCAGCCTATATTACTGTGCATGTAACAATTAACAACGTCCCACACCTACCACACTTTTTACGAGTCACAAAGCTACCTTTTATTTTTAATTTTTCATGACATCACTTATTTCATTATATTTTACCTCGTGTTCTTGATCTCTGTCATTATTTTAAAGAAAAATAACGAGACATTGTCGTATAAAAATAATTTTTCAAATGATTCAGAATTTGGTGGAAACAGTTTTAAAATAAAAGTTGCATGGCGGGAACACCTGGTCAAACGTAGAAGTAACAAGGCAAAATGTTGTCCGTGCCCTCAAAGCCGTAGCTATGCAAGGAAACATTCAGTTTTCCTTTTTCATTTCCACTTCATTTTTTATTATACTTATTACTTTTTTCTCTCTTTTCTTTTTTCTTTTTATGTCACTTCGATTTACTACCCCAGATGAAAAGACCTTTACATTTTTTCTTAGAGAATATTCGTGAAGTGCTTTTCAGTCTTCATAATCATGTCATCATATGAAATTGTCTAACTAGCGTACTTGAAGTTAAAAAAAAGAAAAGAATTAAATTAAAAATTATTTAGCCCCATTTTTACTTTATGTAAACCCTGCATGTTATTGTTGTTTGAAGTTTGAAGCTAAGACGATTCGCAGTGGCAGATTTTGATGCAGCAGCCAAAGTTAAGAACAACTAAACTAGAGAAAAAACATGGGGAAAAAAAAAGCCTCTGACTCATACTCATTGATCCTTTTTGGGGTGGGCACCCGCGACAGCCTGAGAGCCAGTGAGCCTGGCCAACATGACAAACGTCATCCCTCCAAGGACGTTATTGAGCAGTCTAAGCAGCAACACAGAGGACTTAAACACGAAAGGAGGCACAAGCTTCTCCAAAACAAACTCCACTCCGTTCAGCGTCTGGTACCTGAGGTTGCTACTCACACCCATGTGCGCGGCCCAAGTGAGAGCGTTGAGAAGCGTGGGTGGAGCCTTGTTGGGGCTCTGGAACGTGGGGTCCACCCTCTTCCTGACCGCGACCAGTCCATTCGAAATGACGGTCCCCACAAGCCCAGCTCCCAGCCCAACAAGCGCGAACAGGCCGCCCTTGTACAGCAGAGTCCCGAACCGGTCGAGGACGCCGTACGGACCCGGTTCGAACATGTGGCTGCTGGGACACGTGGCGAATAGCGAGGGCAGCGTTGAAGAAGAGGACAAGGTGGGCGCCAAGAGATACATGAGGATGAAGTTGAGAATGGAACCCACCACCAGCGTTGAGAACACGAAGTCCAGTTCGTTGAGGCCGAAGTTGGGGCGCGTCGCCATGTCGCCAGCCACGGCGGCGCTCACGCCGACCAACTCCTCCATCAGGACTTTGAATGGGAATTGTGGGTCCGCCGCCACACGAGATCTCCATCCGTTCACGACCATGCCAACCACGCTGAACGCCGCGCCGCCGGGGTCGGAGCCGGAGTCGAAGCCTCCTCCGCCGCCTCCGCTTCCTCGGCCGGCCCCGGCGCCGGAGTCTCCACCGGAGAGGGAAAGGCGTAGCCTTTGGGTGCGAGGGTGACGTGGCGAGGGGAAAGAAGGGGTGCGATGGTGAGGATGGAAATGGCGGTGGGAGGAGAGGGGTGAGAATCGGAGGTGAGCCATGGCTTGTGCTGCTGCCATTGCAGTGTTGAATTGAAGCGTTTGAAGAGTGAAGAGGAGAAGATAGATGGTGGGGAAACAAGTGGTGCGCGAAGAAAGTGAAGAGTGGGGGGGGGGGGGGGGGGGGGGTATGAGTTCGGAAAGAAACAAAAGAAATCGGAACCCTAAGCCACCTAATTTGATAGAGAAAGAAGTTGAGAGTTGAGATGAGAGAGTGAGTATGAGTCTGGGGTTTCAATTTTGTCAGCTGCCACGTGGGATGACAAATATCGGACTGTGCTCCACCTCAAACAACTTTTGTACTCCGTTTTTTATTCATGGTTAAAAAAATAATTGATATTTTAAATTTTAAAAATATTTATTACTTATTTTTTTATTTTATTATCTATTTTTTTTATAATATTTCGTTAAAATATATTATCTTTTTAAATATAACATTAATTTTTTATAGGTAATTGGAGGAAAAATAAGTAGACATTAAAAATAAATAGGCACATTATTCAGTAAACATACTTACATACATTAATTATCAAGAGTAAAAATAAAAAAAAAATTAATAAGTCATTAATTTTAGTAAAATGACAATGAAAAAAAAAACGATAAATTCTGACAAAATAACTATGAATAAAAAATAGAAAAAATATTATTTTTCTTTCCTTGGGATAGGGTCACTGTAAATCCAACAACCTTAAAAATAGTTAATTCGAAACTCAATCCATAATTAATTAGTTAAATTTGATATATAAATTAAATTAAATGAATTTTAGCTAAAAATTCATATTCAATTAACTTAAGTTATATATAATTCAATTTGTTTGGTACATATCAATTTAATATATAAATACATAATTTATATAATACTTAATTTTAATTTATTAAAATTTAAAAAAGAATTAAAAATTAATTATATCAATAATAATGAAAAAAATATGGATAACTTAGAGTTTCATGAATATAGATATAATTTTTTATTATTTATATAAGATGAAATATTTTTTTTATATTTATAATTACATTTATTTGGAGCCATCTTACTAAATTAATAGAATAAGTTATATTTGTCTTTTCAAACAAAACTAAATATTCATTTAATCTAAAATTTGTTAATAAATTAAAATCTTAAAATTTATAAGATTAAAAAAATTGACTCATGAATCGAATTAAGGAGTTGAACCAAGCTATTAAAAAGCTTAAACCGAGTTGATTTCAAGTGAATATTTTTTTGTTAAACTCAAGTTGGGCACAACAAATATAAAGAAGATTTTTTTCTTTTCAACTTTGAATTCTCTCTACAATCTCAATGAAGTATTAGTTGACTTTCACATTTTTTTTACTATGATATTGGTAAGAAGTATTTATCGTCATAAGTAGTTGTTAATCTTTGTTAAAGACCGTGAATACACATAAGTTTGATATTCTCCTCCCAACATAATTTATTTTATATACAAAGTTAGAATTCAAACCCTAAACAACTTGATCAAGAGACACAAGTAACTATTACTTTCATTAACAAATGTTGGTGATTTTTGCATGTTTGGTTCAATTTAAAAGAATTAATAGCAAATTAAAAATTGATTGAGTTAAAAAAATTGTCTTCTGTAAATTTTTTTTTACATTAAATTAACCCGTTGATCCTTATAATTTTATCAAATTCTTAATTAAGTCCTTATATTTTAACATATGATCTTTATAAATTAAAAATTTAGTAATTGAATTTTTCACCTATTAACACCATTAAAATTATGTTAATTTATGTTGATATGACAATTATCTTTTAATATGATATTAATTATAATTTTATTTTCAAATGAAATCCCTAATTTTAATATGTTAATTACACCAACACTTATGATTTCTTTAATATTTAAATTTAAAATATATTCCAGTTTCTAAACTCTTTTTCATTTTATATCTATCATAAAAATTAAACAAATTAGAAGAATGAAATAACTTTTTTATTGAGATAATTTAAAATTTTAATTTAATATTTTGGGTTGTGCAATACAATAAATGAATATCTATTTTATACAATTAAAGTTATGATAAATAATTTTTTTAAGTATATATATATATATATATATGTAAATAACTCTTAAAAATTAATCTCATTTAAGATAGTTATTTTAATTTTATGTACAAGGAGGATATAATAATAAGTGTTTTAACCATGTTTAGAGGAGATATAATATTAAAAATTATAATAGTTATATCATCTCTTCAAAAATTATTTTAATATTATATACTGTACTATCCGTACCGTTTTGCCGAGCTCGAGCTCGGCACTGCAACGCAAAATGACCTCGGACACGCGCTGAGAGACCTCGGCTTAGATGAGATCCACTATCTATCATATCATAACTGATCTCAGGCCCAAGGCCCAAGGCAACCCTAATTCACACTAAGGTACGCGCATTACTTATACGAGACTCATACTCATACAAACCCTAACTTTGGCATCGGAGTCTCTTTTGTAGGTACCACCCCCATCTTGGAGCACCAGCGTACCAGTGAAGGAGGCTCACCAATCTTACTTGGAGGATCATCTCTACGACAAATTTCTAGTAAGAACATTTGGCGCCCACCATGGCGCCGATCAAGACAGCTCTTATCGGCCACGCTTATGGTATTCACCAGAAGCCATAGTAGACGCGCAACAGACGACGCAGATCACGTAACTAACATGGATAACGAAGCCACATTGAGGAGATTGATCGACCAGGTCGAACAGATGCGGTAACAACACGACGCCGACCTGCGAAACATGCGTGCCAAGCACGAAACTGACCTAGCAGCGATGCGGACTACTAATGAAGCTGACCTAGCGGCATTACGTGCCGAGCATGAGCGTATTCGCGCTCAACTCCCTTGGCGTCCCTCTGATCAACCCCCTCAACCGAGCCACCTAAACGAGGAAGAAGGCAATTTAGTTTCTCAGCCGCCAGCCACGACTAGGGTACCAACTCCCAGACCTTCCTCACATCGGTCTCATGTACCGACGCACAGGTCGGCGCAGGATGTCAGCAACGCCCCTGCCTACGGCACGGGACATCAGGCGACCTTCTGCCGTCATCCCTTCGTGGATGGCATCATGGAGACACCTCTCCCTTTCGGGTGGAAGCCCCTCTACATCGACCGTTACGACGACACGACCAACCCGGATGAGCACATCGACCAGTACACCACACAGGTAAACCTCTATACTAATGAGGATGCTATACTATGCAGGGTTTTTCCAACCACACTAAAGGGAGGCGCGCTCAACTGGTACACCCAGCTTCCCGTTGAGTCAATCGACAGTTTCAGCACTCTAGTCAGGCGATTCACGGTGCAATATGCGACGAGCCAGCCTCAACACATCACTTCAGCCGCCCTGGCTAGTCTCAGACAGAACGATGACGAACCACTCCGGGCGTTCATGGAGCGATTTGCTGTCACCTCGGTGAAGATCAGAAATCTGAACCCCGAGGTCGCCCTGCATGCCATGCTCATGGCACTCAAGCCCGGGCCATTCGTTGACAGCCTATGTCGTGAGGCTCCTCGCGACATGGACGAGCTTCGCGCCCGTGCTGCGGGTTACATCCAGATGGAGGAAGACTCCGCATTTCGTGACCAGGTTCATGGAAAGGGACCAATGAAGCCAGAACAGGGTCACAAGGACAAAGTCAACAATGACAGCCAGTTCAAGAAGTCGGCTAAGGCAAACAGAGGGGGGAGATATGACTTCTATACCCCCTGAAGACGCCCCGAGTACACATCCTAGAGGAAGCTAGTAACAGCAACCTGCTCACCCTGCCACCACCAGGTCATACCCCCAACAGTGCCGACAAATCCAAACACTGTCGGTACCACAGGAATCACGGTCACACCATTGAGGAGTGCCGCACACTCCGAGACCGTATTGAAGAACTCATCCAGGCAGGCCACCTTGGCCAATATGTCCAGCGACAGCAGGGTCACCGAGGAGGCTATGGCGGACGAGGACGAGGCAGAGGTCGTGGTTCAGGAGCTCGCACGGACCAACCCTCTGGCTCTCAGCAAAATGCCAGTGGAGCAGTGCAAATCGAGGTAAGTCAGGAAATAGGATCAGCTCCCCTATGGGGAGTCATCAATACGATTGTAGGTGGTTTCGCAAGGGGAGGTGCCACCAGCTCGGCCCGAAAGAGACACCTGCGCAATATCAACAGTGTCCATTCTGCTACCTCGGCTTCACACCAAAGTTCACCGCCGATCACCTTCACCGACGATGACTATGCCGGCGTCAGTCCCAACCAGGACGATCCCATGGTCATAGCCGTGGAGGTAGCCAATTGGGAGGTTCACAAGACGCTGATAGACCAGGGGAGCTCGGAAGATGTCCTGTATTGGCCAACCTTCCTCAGGTTAGACATCCCCCACTCTCTCATCCAGCCTCACACAGAGCCCCTAGCCAGTTTTGCAGGAGAGCGAGTGCACACCCGGGGATACGTGGACCTGCTAACCACCTTCGGAACCTCCCCCGACACAAGGAGAATTATGGTCTGGTACCTCCTTTTGGAAGCCAACACCTCCTATAACATCATCATTGGGAGGCCGACGTTGAATCAACTTGGAGCGGTGGTGTCCACCCCACACCTCACCATGAAGTTCCCAGGAAGTGACGGTAAAATCATCTCTGTCAAGGCGAACCAGAAGACAGCTCGGCAGTGCTACACCGAGAGTCTGAAGATCTCCTCGTCTGGCGAGCAAAGCAAGAAGGACCCCCCACTGTGGCTCACATCACCCACGTGGAAATCACGGATCTCGATCCGAGATCCGACTCCCATGACGAGCGGCCAAGCCCCATTGACGAGCTTGACGACCTCCAGATCGGAAAACTCCCCGGACAGTGCACCAAAATCAGCCGGTAGTTGAGCCCGGATTTGCGGTAGCAGCTCGAAGCTGAGATTCTCCAGAACGTCGACCTCTTTGCCTGGACCAGCGCCGACATGCCAGGTATAGACGCTGACTTCATCTATCACAGGTTAGCGATACACAAGGAGGCAAGGCCAGTCACCCAGAGGAAGAGGAAGGTCGGCGGTGAAAGGCGGGAGGCCATCACCACCGAGACACAGAAATTGCTAAACGCTGGCTTCATCCGTGAGGTCAGAT